ATGGATTTCTGTCCACCTCATCGGTCCTTAAGACGCTTCCTGCACATCTGGAAAGATTTCAGTAAAATGTATGAAGGGGAGGGTTGGTTGTCAAATGCTGAACTAAAGTAAATTTGTTGAGGGTGAGCTATAATGGTGAAATTTGTCAATATTTTTATAAGTTTAATTTGCGGCTGTGGAAGATGGAGTGTTTTGAAGCTATCGATTCAGGACTAATCTGCAACACTTTTTGTTTTAATGTTCTTAGTAATGAACATGCGATCGTTAACTCCCGCTCAGCTTATCATTTTTTTTGAGTGTTTCATCTGTGTAATCCCATGAAGCCGTTCGGACGGATCCTTCTACTGCATTGGTGGATTTCCTTACGTTCTTTTAACACTGCGTAAATACTATTTAATAACCCGCCTTGTTCATCTGTTGTCTCTCATGCTTGCTGTGTAATCAGTTCAGCTTTTCTTCCCGACGTACGTTTGCTTTATTCGCACTGGATCGAAATCACAGTGCCGCAGAGTAAAAGTACTGGGATTTTACTAACGCGAATAATGCGGCGCCCTATAACTCAATAGGTCATTGTTAACTTTCTTCAACAAGAGTGATATTCCATGTTCCACTTCCATGCAACAGTACTGGTAGCTCATCACAGCTTTTAGGTCACGAAACTTCGCGATGTCCCTCTAAACTTCGTGAATCAAAAAAAATCAATATTCTGTTTCGCTAATCAGTATTTCTTCCTCCCTAAACGTCATTTTCACTATCACATAGCGGGCAGGGGGCAGCACTGATGATTCCCAACCCTAAGCATACCGCGTACTGTCTGTGTTTACAGCTCAGGGATGAAACACAGGCAGCCCCTTCTTTTACATATTACTCTTCACATGATCGTTTTACATGACAAATAGTTTACATACATTTCCTACTTAACAGTGTTCTCTATCCTTCACCCCTTTCGAATTATTGGTCTTATTAGTCTGTTGCCTCCGGTCGGACGGTTCTTACTCCGTCCTTGGCTTTCCATTCATATGATGTGGGTAGGGTCTCCACGGCCCGTACTGTGTTCTAATAAAAAAATCAGTATTCTGTTTCTTGTCTATTAATTTTTTTAGACGCCCTTTTTAATTTTTTCAGTGTTTTTTATCCATTATTAAATTTATCGTGCACGCAGTACTAGACGTTCTGTCGCTACCGTAACATAGGGCATGAATGAGGTCAAGGACCACCTGGAGTTCACTCTTTCTTTCTCACATTGTAATATTTATGCATGATTGAGAAGTTAATCGCACCAAGCGAATAGGAAGGTCAATCAGTCATGTGGAAAAGTGAATGCCACCACGCAACTGTAGCAAAGTGTAAATCTAAGGACATTTCCAACCTTCATCTTTTCCTGACCGATGATTGATCGCGTGAAACTCGGCAAGAGAACAGGCCACCGTTTGAGAGCAACTAATCGACCGGTCAGCGGCTGACCACCGATTGACCTTCAATTCCAAGGTGATCGTAATAATAACAGCAGTGGTTGTAATGAGACTTGGCAACAATCGCTGGGGAATTTTTGGAAATTCTCGTCTTCAAAAAAGACGACTGCATAAGGAGTGCAGGATGAAGGGAGGACGAAGGGAAGAGGGAAAAACAGCTAGAACAAATAGTTCAATTTTTTAAAAAAGATGAAAATTGGACAATGCATAAATTTATCAAATGTTGTGGGTTAATACAAAATGAGAAAGAAATTTTAGGAAAAATCTGAGGGAGAGAGACGTAGAGTTATGGGCGATTGTCCTCCTTCCGGTTTTTGGAGTGCTACAATGAACGAAGCGAGCCAGTAGAGAGAAAGGGATTAACACATTTGAAATTTGATCATACAAAATTTTCTATCATCATCATTTTTATTATTATCATATTTTTGATCCACAATCATTAAGATCATCATCATCATCGTGGTTGTACGGAGTTCCTCCAGAAGAGGCTTCTTCCCTTTTGAGCTACAACATTCTGAAAAACTTCTGATTTGCCCGTAGTGCGCTTGAGTTTCCTTTTCTGGCAACCACTGTTTATGGGTGTATTACCATTCAGGCCAAGTGTCTCCACCTTTCAAATAGAGTAAAATATGAGAAGTTTTCAACTTTTGGCTGTTGAAATGGGTGATAAGAAAGGAGATAAGTCTATTAATCTGAAAGAGGTAACTAAAAATTCAGAAAAAAGCAAGGAAAAAAACCGAAGAGGAATGTTTTAACCCATAAAGCGGTATCCATTACTTTTCAGCATCTCAGCTAAATCTTTCAGCATGAAAAATGATCCTCGTTATTGATCTGAACTTGTCTACTTCAAAAATTGTTCATAATACCTCTTTGTTTTCTCGATTTTTGAGTCCCCATGAAGAATCTACGAGCAGGATCTATTCCAGGCACCAGCACCTACCTTACCTTGAAATGAAAAGAATAATGCTCATTCCGCTGGACTGAGGAATTCAGGATCAGCGACTCAGGGTATATGAAAGAGGACGTGACCTTGAAAAAGGAGGACGTGACTTTGCTTGTGTGAGAAATGAGAGGCTCATCCAAGGTCATCCATCAAAAAAAAAGAGCTCGGCTCGACCTCAAGGTCATGCAGTCGGCTTTCTTATCTGATGAGTAAAGTTACAGCAAAACAATCATAACCCATAGGCTCGGGAAGGTGAAGTTCAGTACTATTCATAGATGAACAGAGATAATGGATGTGAAAGATGCATTTTTTTTTCTGTCAGAGAACTTCTGAAGTGGAAGATAAACGAAGAGTACAATAATCTTAAGCTCGTTCTGAATTTTGTTCCATCACCTTAGAAGGTCCAGGATTCACGGATCTCTGGGAAACCTAATACCGCAGGACTTTAACTGGTGTGATTCATATGCATCGAATAGGTCGGTGGGTGCTGACTGGAAGTATACAGCCCAAAATAGTAGTTTGTGGCGCAGCTGCTCCTGGCATGTGGAAAAGACTCAAGTTAGCATCGGATAACCTACAGTGATTGCCCGGTCACCTTGTTGGTGGTATTATTATCATCATTATTACCATCAGCACTATTGTTGCTACTGCTATTATCACTGTCATTATTTTTGTTTTTGTTATTACAACTATTATTATAGTTATACTTCATTATTATTACCAATATCGTTTTTTCCTTTTTACTATTATTTTTTTTCGATTCTTTTTTCACTTTAACATTTTTTGGACTTGCTATTATGTTTCCAATAAGTCAAATCAAAAATGCTACGTATTCTTGCAAAAATGTGCTTTTTGCACTTCCCCAGTGCTAAAACAGGTTTTATTACATGTCTCGCTTTGGTTGCTGGTAGATGACGGACGGCTGGATGAGTTAGTGATTTGTTGTGGGGTGCATGAATCGACCAGGACAACGGCGATGGCTCTCTGCACCTATATGATTTGCATCAGCACCACTGTACAAATGCTTTTATTCGCTCTCTTCCTGGTGCATTAGCATTGCCTGCACTACAGTTTTTTAAAGACACAATTCTGCTTGAGCAGGAAAAGTCGCGACGGAGGGAAGCAGATGTTTGGGTTTCCTGGTTCACTTCGTCGCCAATTCTTCCCATCCGTTTCCGATTTCCTAGCCCAAACTTCCTCATGCTGTAGGACAATTAGTACATTTTGCCGACAAAAAAGCCTTATACAACTGGCCACATACGGGAATAGTTGATGTTTGGTAGGGGGAAAACTGGAAATGAAGTTCATACTTTTGAATGTTTACAACTAAGAGATGAAACAAGGAACATTTCAGGAAAAAGATAGGAACGTAACTCAAGATTTTGACTAAGGAATGAAGTACAGATTGCTTCACGATTTATCCACCAGCATATGTCTTACTTGGATCCAGTTTCTCGATTTTTTCATTACTAAGAATGAGTGCTTTCCGCGCTGGCACGAACGTTCTTCACTCAGTTCAAGGACATATTTTGTCGCTAATAAAAGTTCACGAAATGATAAAAAAATCGGAAATTAGTATTTGTTTGTGCAATAGTTAATTTGATTAGCCTAATTTCACCTCCCAATTTTATTGCCATTCTAAAAGAAATGCCATCGGGGAATATTTTTTTGTCCACTGCCTGCTAGTTTTGTTCCTTTGAATAAGAGGTTACATACACCTTCTTCCTCGATTCTTTTTCTTTCTCGTCGCTGGATTTACAAAACAATCGAAAATTTCGTAGAATACACAATTAACGCGGCATAATTGTTGATAGGCCCTTTACAGTAGCATAAGCATACATAGTTATCGCTTATATCACATAA